TTTTGATCCTTCTACCTCTAAGCTTTTATTTTCCCGCCATGTTGTTTTCTTAGAAAATAACTTCCCTTTTGTCACCATGTTCTCCTCTTTACCAAGGCAAACTAAATCTAATCTCTACATCTTGCTTGATGTTGTACTTACTGATTGCTCACCCCATACCTCTCATGATCAGAACAATACTACAATCACTTCACATGACCTTTCTCTACCCCATGTCATGTCAACTCCTCTGTTGCAGCCATCAGACACCATCATTTCACCACCTGCTACTTCTAGTTTGTCTTCAACCACCAGTTCTCATGAGTCTCCAGTCCAATCACAGTCCACCTCTACTTCGGCATTGATTGAAGATGCTTCCAACTCTCTTTTGCAGCATGTAAGTAGCCCTACTACTGAACCTGCTTGTATAGCTACTTCTTCTCAGCATAACATCTTTAAACCAAAGAAGCCTCTTGATTACTCGGCTTTAGTTATATCCACAGATTCCATGATCACTCCTCACACATATAAGCATGCAGTCAAATCTAAAGAATGGCGAGATGCAATGCAGAAAGAGGTTGATGCACTTGTGAAGAACGAAACTTGGAGTCTAGTACCTCCCTCATCCACACAAAATGTTATTGGGTGCAAGTGGGTATTTTGGGTCAAACAAAAAGTAGATGGTAACATTGATCGTTTAAAGGCTCATTTAGTTGCAAAAGGTTTCCATCAGCGCCCTAGCATTAACTTCAACTCCACATTCAGCCCCATAGTCAAGCCTACTACCATTCGCCTCATTCTCACATTTGCCACTTATTTCAAGTGGCCTCTCGATCAGCTTGATGTCAATAATGCCTTCTTGCAAGGCACTTTAGAAGAGGAAGTTTACATGGAACAACCCCTGGTTTCGTGAACTATCAGTACCCCTCTCATGTTTGCAGACTTCACAAGACAATCTATGGTCTTCGTCAAACATCTCGAGCTTGGTATATTGAGTTTAAGAATTTCATATGTTCCATTGGGTTTGTTGATTCCAAATCAGATACCTCTCTGTTTACAATGCGTGGTCCAGGTTTTGTTCTTTTCCTACTTTTGTACGTAGATGATATTATTTTAACAGGTTCATCCAGCACCAAGATACTTCATGTCAACAAAGTGCTTGCTGCCCGCTTCTCGCTCAAAGACTTGACTGCACTCACTTATTTTCTTAGTGTTGAAGTTTGTCGAACTACCGCAGGTCTTTATCTCTCCTAGAAGAAGTATATTACTGATCTTCTTCGGCGGTTCAATATGCTTGATGCCAAATGTGTTACTACACCTCTTTCAGCCTCTGTTGTACTTAAGCTTGCAGATGGATCTGCCCCTATGGATCAAAAGCAATATCGTCAGCTTGTAGGTGCTCTTCAATACATCTCTATCACTCGACCTGACATTGCATTTGCTATCAACCGGCTTTCACAATTCATGCACCAGCCGACTCACCTCTACTTGCAAGCTGCCAAACGTGTTCTGCGTTATCTCAAGGCTATATCTACCATTTCTCTTTATATTGCTCCTCGTGCCCCATTTGATCTCATTACTTACTTGGACTCTGATTGGGGTGGAAATCCAGATGATATGTGCTCCACTGGTGCTCCACTGATTCATAGCATGGAATGCAGCTTACCGTAAGTCCCCGCGATAGCTGCGCCTCTGTGCCCAAAAGATCACTAGACATACATGTACCTACACAAAAATGTGCAGCAAGTGTAGTATGAGTACGTAAACAACGTGTACCCAGTAAGTATCAAGTCTAATCTCGAAGAAGTAGTGACGAGAGGTCGATTTTGACACTCACTATGGGTCATTAATGTTAAAATATAAATATTTAACTAGACATAGTTTATGTGAATAACAATAATTTTTCTTAACAAGAGGGAATAAATAATTCTTTCAAATTCAATAATTTCCAATTAATCAATTATCTTCACAAGCTGCAATAGAATGCCAAGGTATCGTGTAATTATTATTATTAAGTATGATTTCTGCCGAGGTCGTACGACCCAATCCAGAGTGTCGTGTACACTGTCGAGGGACGTGTGGCACGATCCATAGATGCATCTATACTTCCAAGGCGTTTGGCCCGCTCCACAAGAAAGGAAGACATTTTCTTATGAACTTCCGGAATGAGAAGTTATTAAAATGCTGACACATAAGGATGTACAATTTCTATTAACAATCAAGTAATTTGCACAAAAATTCAAGTATGCGAAATTTTAGTCTTTTACTCTTTCCTCTAACAATTTCCAATATAATTCTAGTACTTTAATTAAATAAAGGATGCAATTATTATAAGTAATTAATGCTTTGAGTCCTAAACTACCCTGACGTAGCATAATTAGTAGCTACGCACGGACTCTCGTCACCTCGTACGTATGTAGCCCCTATAATTAGCAATAATTATTAATTTAAATCACTTATGGGGTAAATTCCCTCTTACAAGGTTAGACAAGAGACTTACCTCGCTCTGAAGCTCCATAGACGGCTCCAACGCCACTCTAACACCTCAAACCGATGCTTGTCGATACAAAACTATGCAAACAAGGTGCAAACCAATCAAAATGTGTTATAATACCCATAATTAATCAATTTAAACAATTTTCAACTCCGCTCAAAAAGTCGATAATATCGACCATCGGGCCCACGTGCCTGGATTCCGAAAATTATCGAAGATAAACTTTACCCATAACATCACGAACTCAAATATACGATTTATTTCTAATTCCATGTCCGATTCGTGGTCAAAATCTAAAAATACCAATTTTTATGGTTTTCTTCAAAATCCCAAATTTCTACAATTTTTCATGCTTGAATCCATATAAAATTGATGTGATGCCAAAATGCTTTACTTTTAGCACATTACTCACCCTATATTTTGTTGGTCTAATGAGTTATTGTGTGATATTTGAGCTAAATTGTGTTGTTTTATGTGTAGGAACATCAGAAGGAATCATCAAATGAAAATTTCACAAAAAGAGGACAAAATACAAGAAAAGAGCACAAAAGCATCAAGTATCCAAACCGTGCTACAGACCAGAATTTGCAAGGTCTATAGCCAGGTTGACCGTGCTATAGACCAGGCTTTGCGAGGTCTATATCCAGGTCGACCGCGCTATAAACCAGGCTTTGCAAGGTTTATAGCCAGGTCGACCGCGCTATAGACCAGGCTTTGCGAGGTTTATAGCCAGGTTAACCGCGCTATAGACCAGGCTACGCAAGGTCTATAGCATGGTAATTAAAAGTCACGGGTTAAAAGACCCAAACCCGAAATTGGACCGGGGGATTGACATAAATACTCCCCAAATGAGTTATTCTAGGGTTGGACATGATTTTGGAGAAGAAATAGGCTGCCAAGCACTGTGGAGCAAGAATCAAACGAGTTTTCCCTTCCTTTATCTCTTTACTTTGTAGTTTCATGTTTTTAAACATTATGTTGATTGTTGTTGTATTTATGAGTATCTAAACTCTTTAATCTAAGGTTTGATGGAACCTATTGGAGGATGATTCTTTACTGCGTTTAATATAGATTTGCCTTTGATTTTTCTCTACTTGTTCAACTATATTTTCATTGTTGTTAATTGAAGAGCTCTCAATTAACTGTGCCTATTTAGTGTATATATTTCTTAAGAGAGAGTGCACATTTAGGTAGTTATTGAACAACACCACTCCTAACGTAGTTCAGAGATCGATACGGAGGGTTTAAAGGCGGGATTAGAGATAACGAAGCCTTAGTGTGATCGTCGTGAGCGGTAAATTAGTGCTAGCTAGCGTAGTTCGAGAGAATATGTCTAGTAAATTGTAATAGCTACTAGAGAGAGAGCTACGATACTTAAAGTACTCACGATCGGTAGAAAATATTTAGGCGAATTTATAGGAAACGTAGCGGGTAAGATTCCGATAATAGGGAAAATCATAACCTTAGACTTTTCCAAATCTTATCTACAATATTTGCCTTGTTAGTTATAAATTACTGCATTTTTAATTACTTTGATCTTAGTTAGTAAACTCTCAAATTATTTTATAATATTTCTGAAGGTTGATTACTTAAATTCGTGCAAAACTATTAGTTGTAATTAACACGTTATTTTCCTATGGGATTCGACTCCGGACTTGTAAACTGGATTATATTTGCAACGACCGCTTAGTCCTTTTTATAAGGCATAGTTGGGCGTGATCAAATTTTGGCGCCGTTGCCGGGAAAGCAACAGTGTTACTAATTATAGCTATAAGAATTGTTAGGATTCTTAGTTTAGTCAATTTTCTCCATTTCTATTCATTACATTGAAATTCTAACGTTTGTGGTCTTGTGTGTTATAGGTGTTGCCTAGAAACTCTTCAAGAACTGGTGAATTGTTTAAAGCATTACCGGATCTTGAGAAAACTTTCAAGGCATTAAATCATGCAAACAAGAAAGACAAACAACATCATCACCCAAGAGAACAAATTGAACCAGACATGAGTGACTCTTTGGATAATCAAAACAATCGAAACAATGTGAATGACCCGAATAATCAAGGTGTGGTACCTCTTGTGCCAGAAGCAGCTTTGTATGATTGGGCACAACCCACTGTTGAAAATTTGGCAACTGCAATTGCAGTCCCTCAGATACAAGCAGAGTCATTTCAAATCACAAACAACATGCTACATCTACTGCAAAACAAGGGACTGTTCTCCGGGTCTTACATTGAAGATCCACAACAGCATATGAAAAATTTTCTATCAATTTGTGTCACGCAAAGGCAACCAAATGTGACACCGGAAGCAATAAGGCTGTCGTTGTTTCCATTCTCAGTGACAGGAGAAGCCCAAACTTGGCCTAATTCGCTCCCCATAAATTCCATTACCACTTGGGAGGAATTAGTCAAGCAGGTTTTGAACAAGTTTTACCCACCAAATAAACCGCCAAGCAAGTTGATGAAATATTGAGCTTCAGGCAGAAACCAGCTAAAACATTACAAGAAACATGGGAGAGGTTCAAAGGTATGCTGGTTAAGTGTCTGCATCATGGCATTCCAGATAAGATGTTGGGACAACAGTTTTACATAAGATTGGCGGATAATTTGAAAGCCAATATTGATGCTTCAGTAGGTGGAGCATTTTTGAGCAAGTCATTTAGAGAATGTAAAGTACTGCTAGATAAAATGGCTCAAAACTCAGGCTGGGTGACAAGAGACACTACAATCACCCCTATAGTTTACTCAGTAGCATTGGACCCGAACAATTCCATTGCCGAGAATATGGCTACTCTGATGAAACAAATGAGTATCCTCACCAAGAAGATTGATGAATCAGGCCAGAAGCAAGTACACATAGTTGACATGACTAATGGAGGATTATGTACACCATGCATTAACCAACACACGTGTGTTCATGGAGTGGTGAGAGTGACAACCAGAACTATCAAGAGAACATGAACTATGTGGGCAACTATGGAGGCCAGAGGCAAGGTGGTCAGAATTGGGGGCACAAAAATCAGCAATATAGACCAGCACATCAACAATACAATAACACCAAGAATCCTGGAGCTATGCGACCATAGGGTAAAGTAGTACCTTACCAAAGGCAACATGGATACAGTCAACAAAATCAGCAGCTAGCTTATCAACAACCTCAACAGCAAGAACTAGTGAGACAAGATGATGGGTTGCCTGAAATTAAAGGAATGCTGCAGCAACTGATTAGGTCTAATGGAAAAATGCAAGAGAAGGTGGAAGCACATGAGTCAGCAATAAAAGGCATTGAGATTCAATTAAGGCAGATATATGTTGCTCTGAATAACCGTCCCCAAGGGACTTTACCTGCGGACACACATGTCAATCCGAAGGAGCAGGGCCCGAATCAGCTTATAGCGGTGAGCTTGAGAAATGGTAGAGATCTTGATTTAGAGCAAGAAATTGCTCGTGAGAGCCGGTCAACTGAAACACTTGTGACATTGCCAATTGAGTTAGATGAGTCAACTGAGCTAATAGAAGTAAGAGTGCAACCAGCCCAAGAGGAAATAAACAAGGAAAAAGAGGTTGCAGAGGAGACTAAGAAAGTGCAAGAGAAGGCATTAGAAAAAGTGCCTGAGCAAGATCTAACTCAAGCTACAGGAAAGAAGCGACCTCCGACACCATTACCGCAGAGGTTGGTTAAATATCATAAGGATGAACAGTACAAAAATTTCATGGAAATGCTGAAGGAAATTCAGGTAAACATTCCTCTAATTGATGCTTTGAGGGAGATGCCCGGTTATGGAAAAATGATGAAGGACTTGATGTCTCGTACGTTCGACTTTCAAGACTTGGCAACTGTCATATTGACACAGACTTGTAGTGTTGTTGTGTCAAGACCTATAGCTAAGAAGTTATCCGACCCTGGAAGCTTTACAATTCCATGCACCATAGGCAACTATGCAATTGCCAAAGCATTGTGTGATTTGGGAGCAAGTATAAATATGATGTCATTCTCTATCTATAAGACGTTAGGCATTGGAAGAGCAAGGTCCACATCTATGTTACTGCAGCTGGCTACCCGAACGGTGAAAAAGCCATCAAGTTGGAAAATTTGTGTTTCCAACAGATTTTGTCATTCTGGACTGCAAGGTTGATGAGGAGATTCCCATAATTTGGGAAGGCTATTCTTAGCCACAGGGAGAGCTCTGATTGATTGTGAAACGGGGGAGCTAAAAATGAGGATGAATAATGAAGAAATAACATTTAATGTGCAAAAGTCTATGCGGAGACCCGGTGAGTTTGAAAATGCTCTTTGTTAGACACGGTGGATGTAATCATGGAGGAAGATGAAGAGGCACTTAATGCAAAAGACCCTCTAATAGCCTACCTTATGAACTTAGAAGAAGTAAATGGTGAGGACTTGGTGGAATGGGTGTTGGCTCTTCAAGGGCAAGGGTACTGGAAAAGAGAGCTTGAATTCGAGCCTTTACACTCGGAAGAAAGAAAGAACCCTCCAGCCAAGCCATCGATCGAAGCACCACCATAATTGGAGCTAAACCGCTACCATCTCACCTCAGGTATGCTTTCTTGGGACCTAATTCAACTTTACCTGTTATTATCTCATCTGGTTTGTTAGATCTACAGGTAGAACAACTTTTGCAGGTGTTAAAAGAGTGCAAGAATGCAATTGGTTGGACCATTGCAGACATTAAGGGTATCAGCCCGGCCTTCTGTATGCATAATATTCTACTGGAAGATGGGCACAAACCTTCCAGAGAACATCAAAAGGCTTAACCTTAACATGAAGGAAGTTGTAAAGAAGGAAGTGATCAAGTGGTTAGATGCGGGAATTATTTTTCCCATTTTAGATAGCAACTGGGTTAGCCCATTTCAGTGTGTGCCAACGAAAGGTGGGATGACTATTATGCAAAATAAGAACAATGAATTAATCTCAACAAGAATAGTCACCGGATGGCGAATTTGCATGGACTACAGAAGATTGAACAAGGCCACCTAAAATGATCATTTACCCTTGTCGTTCATTGATCAGATGCTAGATAGATTGGCAAGGAGGTCTCATTTTTTCTTCTTGGATGGATACTCGGGGTACAACCAGATATCTATTGCCCCCAAGGATAGAGAGAAAACGTCATTCACCTGTCCATACGGCATTTACGCTTTTCGGAAAATGCCATTTGGCTTGTGCAATGCACCCGCCACATTCCAAAGGTGCATGATGGCCATCTTCATAGATATGGTAGAAGATATAATGGAGGTTTTTATGGATGATTTCTCAGTGGTGGGAAATTCTTTTGATGATTGCCTTAGAAATCTGAAAAGAGTATTGTGGAGATGTATGAAGACTAATCTGGTGCTGAACTGGGAAAAATACCATTTTATGATACATGAAGGTATAGTCTTGGGCAGTAAGGGCATTGAGGTGGACTGTGCCAAGAATGATGTAATAGAGAAGCTTCCACCACCCACTTCCGTCAAAACAATAAGAAGTTTCCTTGGTCACGCCAATTTTTAAAGGCGATTTATAAAATATTTTTCCAAGATTGCTAACCCTTTGTGTAAATTGCTTGAAAAAAATCACCCTTTTGTGTTTTCTGATGACTGCAGGGTAGCTTTCGAAGGATTGAAAAAGAGGCTAGTGTCTGCACCTATCATAGTTACACTCGATTGGGAGTAACCATTTGAGCTGATGTGTGATACAAGTGACCATGCCGTGGGAGCAGTACTTGGACAGAGAAAAGATAAATTCATTCATCCAATCTACTATGCAAGTAGAACATTGAATGGCGCCCAACTGAATTACACAGTGACATAAAAAGAGATGCTAGCAGTGGTGTTCGCATTTGACAAATTCTGGTCTTACTTGATAGGCTCGAAGGTAATTATTTATACTGACCATGCTGCTCTCAGGTACCTAATTGATAAAAAGGAAGCAAAGTCGTGCCTGATTCGATGGGTTCTACTGCTGCAAGAGTTTGACTTGGAAATTTGTGATGAAAAGGAACGGAAAACCAAGTTGCCGATCACTTGTCCAGGTTTGAAGGAGCTGAAATGAAGCTTGAGGTGGAAGATATCATGGAGACTTTCCCAGACGAACAACTGTTGGCCACGAGCCTTGGGGTAGCGCCATGGTATATAGACATTGCAACCTAACTGGCAAGCGGTATTGTTCCCTATGACTTATCTTCTGTGCAGAAGAAAAAGTTCTTTCGTGATTGTCGCATGTATTTCTGGGATGTACCATATTTATTTCGGATTTGTATTGATAACAAGATCCGGAGATGTATTCTCGAGATAGACCAAGATTTTGTTTTGCAGGCATGTCATGCTTTGCCTTATGGAGGTCATTGCGGAGGAGTAAGGACAACTGCTAAAGTTTTGGAGTCGGGCTTCGATTGGCCGACATTTTTTAAAGATTCACACTTTTGGGTAAAGAGCTGTGATGAGTATCAAAGGACGGGGCATATTTCCCATCGACATGAGATGCCCATGAACCCATCACCCAGTTTAATGCACAACGCACCTGGAAGCTTTACCTCGCGGCACAGATTGCATCGCTTACTGCCCAGCGTGCTTTCCAGCTCCCGTTGCAAGGTAATTACCTCGCGTTTAACATTTCATTGCAAGGGATAAAACAAGCAAAACCTGGCATTAGACTCGCCTCGTGCGGGATGCAGCAACCGAAACCTGGCAGAAGACCTCACATCGCTAGGAAAGCACCTCGTGTTATGCCTCGCGTCGCCAGCTTCTCCGCTCGCTAAGGAGCTCGCCTCACCAGGTAAGTTTCTCGCTTGGAGCTCGTATCGCCAGGTTCTCAGCACACGTTAGACATCACCTCGCACAGTCCTTTGCTCACTGAATGCCTCGCCAACCATGTTTCTTGCTCGCTATTGGTTTCACTGGCCATCCCCCATTTTCGCTATAAAACTCAGCTTCAGAGATCGCCATGAGCCTCACATGCTATTGTCCAATGCTCGCTTGGGAGCTTTCCTAGCGAGATATCGCATTAGCCTTGTGTCGCGCGGGTTATCGCGAGGTACAACTCGCGTTTTCCTTGCATCGCTCGGGTTATTGTGAGGTAAGTTTTCTTTGCTTCTCAATACCATGCATCAGACCTCACCCAACCAGACCACCAGCTCGCTATGGACATCGCTTCGCCTGGCTCTCATCTAGATCTAGAGCTCGCTTCGCCAAGTAAATGTCTTGCTGGGAGCTCGCGTCTCCAGGTAATGTGTGTTATAATTATTTAAGCTTTGTTTTCTAACTTTCTTCTATTAAACAACTATACAAACACACACACCTAACTTAACACTACACTTTTTTCTATTAGCCACACCTCACTGTCCGTCCCTTTTCCCTTCTAATTTTTTTTTAAGCTTTGTTTACTAACTTCTTTATATTAAAACACTACACAAACACACACCTCACTAAACACAATACACTGCCCGTCCCTTCCCCTCACACACAAATTTCATTGAAGACCTTCGCTCATCATCTCTTTCAATCACTTGGGACCTCAATTGAAGAACACGTCAATCCTCCTTAGCATATAAGGTATGTTTCTAACTCTCTCTCCTCTATCAAAAATTCGAATTTAGTTAAAGAAATGCAATTCCACCATTTTTGTGTATATCTTCAAAGCAACAATGTGCTTGCTCGCCCTAATCCCATAAACCCCATATGATTGGTATTTTTGTTGTGTACAAGAGTGATAATATGAAATCCCCAAGCCGATTTGGGGAGGGTGAGGCAATCCCTCATATCGACAACCAATTTGACAACACTAATGCACGCTAAGTGTTTGTCGAAATGCCTCATAGGCATTCTTGGCCCAAATGGAGTTCTACTCTCCGGAATTGTAATGACTAATGTTATGTTGCATTGCAACACTCCAAATTGCTAGTTTAGGCGGGCTAAACAGTAGCTATATGCATGCAATTGTGGTAAACACCATTTTAACATTGTGTAACGACCCGGTCAGTCATTTTGAGAGTTGTAACCTCATTCCCCCATTTACTACTTAATTTATACTTTACAATTTTTATGTGACTTGCCGGGATGATTAGTTTGGATCCGGTGAGGTTTTAGGAATGAATTGGTACACTTAGTTTCAAGGTTTAAAGTTTAAGTTGAAATAGTGACCGGATATCAACTTATATGTAAACGACCTAGAAATGGAATTTTGATGATTCCAATAGCTTCGTATGGTGATTTTAGACTTAGGAGCGTGTCTGGAAAATTATTTGGAAGTTCGTAGTGGAATTGGGCTTGAAATGGCGAAAGTTGAATTTTTGGGAAGTTTGACCGGGGATTTGACTTTTTGATATCGGGGTCGGAATCCAGTTCTGAAATTTTTCATAGCTCTGTTATGTCATTTATGACTTGTGTGCAAAATTTGAGGTCAATCGGAATTGATTTGATGGGTTTCAACATCGTTTGTAGAATTTGAAAATTTCAAAGTTTATTAGGCTTGAATTGGGGTGTGATTTGTATTTTTCGCGTTGTTGGATATGATTTGAAAGCTTGACTAAGTTCGTATGATATTTTAGGACTTGTTGGTGTATTTGGTTGAAGTCTCGAGGGTCTCGGGTGAGTTTTAGATGGTTAACGGATCAAATTCGGACTTAGAGGAAAAATTGGAAACCTGTTGTCATCTGATGCAATCGCACCTGCGAAAATTGGCTCGCAAGTGCAAGCTCACAGAAGCGAGCCTGGCAAGCGCAGGTGCGTGCAAGGGGCTGTGAGGCAGTGGTCGCAGGTGCGGAGCGAGCCTCGCAAATGTGAGCCCGCAGAAGCAACTTCTAGCTCGGAGAAGCGGAGGCAGTGGAGGATTTGGCAAACCGCAGAAGCAGTTGGTTTCTCGTCCTGCGAAACCGCAGGTGCGGAACCCCTGGACAATATACATTTCGAAGGGGCTCCGAGTTTTTTCATTTTTTGACTTTCAAGCACGGGTTTTGGGGCGATATTCAGAGAGAAATTACGGGAAATCTTGAGGTAAGTCACTTGTGATCATTTCTACACCATAATATTGAATTATCATCGAATAATCCAACTAGATTACATATTTTTGAGGTGTAAATCAGGGATTTGAAAATAAGATTTGAAGATATGGTGCTCGATTTGAGGTCGGATTTTGGTAAATATGGTATAGTTAGGCTCGTGGTTGAATGGGCTTTCGAATTTTGTAACTTTTATCGAGTTCCGAGATGTGGGCCCCATAGACCATTTTTGAGCTAAATTTCGGATTTTGTTAGAAAATTTATATTTTTGTATGGAATTATTTCCTATAATTTGTATTGATTGAATCTAATTAATTATGATTAGATTCGAGCCAATCGGAGTCGGAAAATCGAGGAAAAGGCATACTACTTGACTGATTGAGCGCGGTTTGAGGTAAGTGACTTGTCTAACCTTGGGGGGGAGGGAGGGAAATTCCCTCTAGGATTGGTATTGATGCGATAATTGTAATGTGTGAAAAGTCGTGTACACGAGATGACGAGTGTGTACATGGGCTAAATATGGAAGATT